AATTTGCATTTGTTTTTTTATTTACAATTTTTGGGTACACCCATTACTTTGGTGTCGTAAAGGTAGGTTAAGGTGCGTGTTTGAGCAAAATGCCGCGCTAGTCGTTATTTGTGAGGTATTTAGGAGCTATCTACTTGTTACTAAAAAGATATATCAACTAATAAAAAGTCTTATTAAGTTTCTACATAATCTTGATTCCATAATAGCCAATTCCAATTTTCTTAAAAGGAGTAAATACTTGATGAATTTTCCTACAACTAAACCACAGAAATGTGAAATAATTATTGATAACATGCATCTCTTCATAAAGTAAGCATTATTTTATTTTGCGATTGACACTAATGCATAGGTAATTTATTAATGAACATTTTGATATATTTAATTTTTTCAAAGAATCGAAATTAGATTTCATAAATAAAATATTTTAAAATTTGGGCGTATTTATTACGCGATATATTGTAGCGAGAGCGCGTAGAATGTATAGGACCGAACGCTCAAGGTCGTTCGCTAGGAGTAGCGCCTTAAGGCAAAAATCGAAACAAAAAAAAAAGAAATATATGAAATAATAATTTTGTATTTCAGATAAAAAAAAATCGTGACCGACGACGGTGCGCTGCGTTTAAGGTGTACTATTAAACAACGATTACCAATCGGCCTACCAAGAATGACAATTCAACTGGAAAATGCGTAAAAGTAGCACGCGCAGATAAAGAATGGAGCTATAAATGGCGTCTCATGTCTAAACTCACACCCGCCGGTAACGTAATAACCACAAAACAATAACGTCATTTATGCATTGCGATAAGCGTTTCTTATGGTGTTCTAAGCCCTAGTTACAAAATATAAATTTTCAATATGCTCTTGTTTTATGAGGTATCAATTACCAAAAATAAATAAAAGAGGAATGCCCACTCTTCATAGACATTTCGGCCATGGGTGCCCACATATAAAAGCATATAGATATGATAATATACAATTAAAGGAATGAAATGGTTAAGAAATTGGTTTAAAAAAAGTCGGGAATTTTAAGATATAAAAGTTTTTATTTTCACAAATACAGTTTTTTAACAACTAATTTTACCGATGTTATCGCATTTAATTTCTTTGATTTTTAATTCCCGACTCGGGTGCTTTCCAGCACACATGGTCATGGGGGATTGAGGTGACTGGTGTACCGAAATCAGTGTTAACTTGGAGTAACTTCAGCTTTTTAATAACTATTTATGGTCCGATCTACGCAGAATGAACTTACTGTCTTGAAGTCTTGCGTGGTATGCTTGGGTTTAGTTTTAATTTTATTAATTACAGTGTCCCAAGCAGGTGGAAATACCCAGCTTCATTCTCTATTGAAATTAGAATGTTTGAATATGGGTGCAATACATTACCGACTTCAGATTGCAACGAGGATGAACTAGATGATTCAGATGGTTCCCGTTCTGCAGTTGAATGTGATGCTGCTCTATCAAACCTTCGCCAACAATTATGACACACACGAGATGACGATGGCAACTGAAATAATATTAAATAAAAAAGTGAACTAAATAAAAATAAAATAGATTTGTTTCCTTTAAACTCAAATACTTATAAAATATTTATCAAGTTAATTGTTACTGCACAAAAGCAGACTTAATGGCCTATATTATTTAATAATTAAGCACTTAAAAACTACCAGTAGTCCAAAAACAATGAAAAATCAATTGTCTCATTACTTGGTAGTTGGTAAAAACGGTAGCAGTCTATCTGGTGGTGACAAGCTAATCTTATCGCCATGTTATAAATAAGCTTGTATGTTTGTCAGATATAGTTTGTGTGGATGTAATCAGAGTTAGAGAGAAGAATAAATTAAAAAATGTTGAATACGTACCTCACGTGGTGCAATTTGATGGGCAATTTCATTCCTTATGAGTTCCTCACGTGGAGAATCAGACCCAAACAATGTGGTGATCTTATTCTCAAAAGTGACTTGCCACAGCTGATACATACATGTCCACGACTGTTAATTGGTGAATTTTCCTGTTCGCTAGTTGGATGTCGTATTTTAAGGCTAGTTCGTTACTTCGATAACAAATTCACAAAAATAAAAACAAACACGCAAATGAATTCTACATGTGACTATTTATATAGGTATAGATATAGTTGTGAAATATGAACTGAATTGTGATTTCATTCCATGACAGGGCCTAGCTGTCAGACTCGATGTTGCCACTTAACTGACATAAAATAGATGAAAAGATATCGATTTTTATTCGATTAATAATATCGTTAAAAAACAATCTTTGAGGTGCTTTAAGTTCTGCACACTTTTTAAAATATATTTTCCTTTATTTATTTAAATGCTATTTGAAATGTATTTTTAAGAACAGTTAAATTGTGCAGTAGCGTTTTGTTTAGCTTTAACCTTTTGAGCGCCACGCTAAAAACGCATTACCGTGTCCTGTACGCCAAAGCGCCAAAACAAAATAGTGTTGCCAAGAGTTGATATATCGATAACGTAAAATAACTTGTTTTTGTTGGTTTTTTATGCTATAAATGACTCTTTATAAACTGTATGTTTTATTTAATCTTGTGCTGTCATCCACTCTTTTTATATATGTACTTTGTACATATAAACATAAATAAAAAACAAACAATAACAATAAAATAGTAGTAAACCACAGCACTACTCTCCATCCTAATGACAACACTGTCACGACTAGACGACAACGGCGTAGCTGACCTTCCTTTTTTTAAACATTCTTAGAATGTTGTGTATCGATTTCAAAATCGATCTAACCGAAATATACAGACATCGATTCATAATATTTTATGTGTCGGGGAAGGCGTAGACCAAGTGAAGTACAGAAGAAAAGTCTTACACTCTTATGACAATGGGGATTTGATATGATGCTGATGCTGCTAGATGATTTTGAGACTGAGAAAGAAAATGGCACAACACAAAATGAAAAATTGCTCTTCACACCTTAAGTAAAAAAACATTAATTGTAATTTTGTATTATTATTAAAAAAGGTACATAATTATTCATTAATCAACAATTGTATATAATTATTCGCACTAGGTAAATCAGCCTTATAATACTAAAATCTTGGTCATGGAATAAATAAACATTTCATCACAATTCATCAATCAAAAATCAAAATTCATCATCATCGACGCTTTCCAAAATCCGAATGAGTTCTGAGGAATCGTTCATGTTGCATTGCTCTACTTTTCTCGGTAATCACTTATGACGTCATCAGGGTGTCGTCTATCCTTGATCACGGTGCCCAGTGAACTGATTTTCGATGACGCGCTAAAGATGCGCTAGAGTTGAGATATTAGATTTATTATGCGAAGATAATCTGATAACATTTTTTTATTCATGTAGCTAATTATAGTTTTATGTTTCTAACCTTTAATTTTATTCAAATATCAATAATAATAGAAAAAAAAACACCATTGAGCTGAATTTTGGATAGTTTTCAAGAAATATATGCCTCCCGCGTTTGACACTAGCGGTCAACCATAGACGACTTTGGCGTGCTGGACATAGTATTTGCTTAGATAAAAATCCATTTTTATTAGTTCAATGTTTCTTAGTACTTGTGGCTCTAGAAGACTTGTTTTTTATACTCACATGTTGCTGGGTTATTCCTATTTTGAGGAGTGTAGAATTAAAATACCTGTAATAATTTTCCAATATCTATATTTCATATTTTTCGGAGCCGGGTTTTTTGTCAACTATAGACGTCGTTGGCGCTCAGGGCCCGCAGGTGTTGGTCAAGTATAGGCGACTTTGGCGCTCAAAAGGTTAAAGGATTCATGGTAAATCAGCTGGAAATTAACTTGTTTCGTTATCATAACATGATTCTATTTTAAATGTATTGTTATAAACAGATAAGAATAACTTAATCGATCTTCTTTAAAAACAGATAAGAATAACAGTTCTTATCTGTTTTCAAAGAAGATCGGTTAAGATTAACAGTTAAATTGTGCCGTAGCATTTGTTATTCTCTAAAGAATTCATTGGAAATCAGCTAGTAATTCGTTGTTTAATTATCGTAACATCATAATTATTTAAAAATTATATTAGCACTGTAATGATGACACCGTAAATAATCGATCGAAAAAGAGAATCGATTTTTTAAATGTGTTTTGTGATTGGCAACACTTTTTTTTTATTCACAAACTAATGACATAATGATTTACCTAATTTTTATTATTATGTTTCCGGTACTTTTAATTTGTGCAAAAATATTCCCATTGTTTGAGGATAAATGAATACCGCGATTAATAACCATAATAAATAAAGATATAATTTTTTAACAAATGCACATTGTTGGGCGTTCCATGGCCGAAAATGGGCGTCCCCCTTTGGTACCTAATTGATTTATATTCTTATTTTTTTAAGATAAGGGTGACAAACGAGGACACAGTCCACTTGATGGTGAGTAGTTCCTGTAACCCATAGACATCTACATCTACTAACCTCGACTACGAATCAAAATGCAGGTGCGTTGTCACGCGTGAGGACTTAGATGGAATGTCTCGTTTCCAGTAAAAGGGGTCTCCAGTTCTCCACACTCACCATACGAAACATCAGCGTTAAGCTGCTATTTTACGTTGGTATTCTGTGAGAGCGTGGTCCTTCCACAGTCAAGTCGACCCATTCGTGCTACATCTATACTATTAATATAGCTGCTGCGCGGTTCTACCTGGTATAAAATTAAATATTCAATTAATATATTTATATTCAATTAATATATTTACTAAATTTTGATACACTAATCAGTTTATTACAATAACTACAACAATTGAAATACTACGAAACAATATACAAACATAACGTTTTAATTAATATGATATCATGATTTCTTATATAACGATGCAACGTCGTAAGTAATGTTTTCGCTTTACGTACGACGTATGTCAGATAGTAATTGTGTTGGCAATACAAGCTCGACGAGCTGCCATTTCTAATCCCATTCTTTATCCACACGAGTAGCAGTGTGAGTGGATCACAATGATGATGTAAGTGCTTACATTCTAAAGCGATGAGAAATTTGCGGGCACACAATCCAACTAATGTAAGTGGTCCTGTACTAGGCTGCACTAAAAGTATCGGGAATGGAATATTTCCACTGTTCCTGTCATATTAAAATCTTTTTAATTGAAAACTCCTTGGTTTTAAAAATCGAATACCATTTATTTATTTAAAAAAAAGATTCTCGGTCTTGTCACAAGGTTTTGTCAAACTTGTTTAGTCGTTGAGAAAATGGAATTGACTCGAGAAAATTCAAGAGCGATGATTTATTATGACTTTCGAAGTGGTTTATCACAAAAACAGTGTGTTGACCGGATGATTTCTGCATTTGGTGATGAAGTCCCATCCAAAACCACAATTTATCGGTGGTTTGCTGAATTTCAACGTGGACGTGTCAAGCTCAGTTATGATCCCCGTCAAGGTCGTCCAAAAACTGCAGTCACCAAAGAAAACGTTGATGCTCTGCGTAAGCTGATTGAGGAAGATCGACATGTGACATACCGCGAAATTCAGGCAACTTTAGACATTGGCATGAGTCAAATACAAATAATCTTGCATGAACAATTAGGTGTAAAAAAGTTGTTTTCCCGATGGATACCGCATTCGCTCTTTGAAGAGCAAAAAGCGGCTCGCGTTACTTGGTGCGTCAGAACTCTCGAAAGATTCCACGCAGGATCCTCAAATGCTGTATACAACATCGTATCAGGTGACGAATCCTGGATATACGCGTACGAACCCGAAACAAAAAACCAGTCACGAGTTTGGGTGTTCGAAAATGAGTTAAAGCCAACAAAAATTGTTCGTTCACGGAGTGTTGCAAAAAAAAATGGTGGCCACGTTTGTCTCGGTCATGTTACGACTATTCCTCTTGAGGGACAAAGAACGGTTAATGCAGAATGGTATGCTAGCATATTTGTTTGCCACAGGTCGTTTCTGAACTCCGTGAAGAGAACTGCAACCGCCGCATCATACTCCATCACGACAATGCGAGTTCTCACACCGCACAAAGAACAAAAGAGTTTTTAGAGCAAGAAAACATAGAATTTTAGACCATCCGCCGTACAGCCCCGACCTAAGCCCTAATGATTTCTATACTTTCCCTAAAATAAAGAATACATTGCGTGGACAGAGATTTTCATCACCTGAAGAAGCTGTGGATGCCTACAAAACGGCCATTTTGGAGACCCCAATACTTCCGAATGGAATGGTTGCTTCAATGATTATTTCCATCGTATGGAAAAATTCGCGGATGCGCGATGTGTCAAATTTCGCGGAGAATAATTCGAAAAGCAATAAATACATTTTTAAATAGTAATGTTGTGTCACTTCCTTGATTCCCGAAATTTTCAGTGCCGCCCTCGTAGTCGCATCAATAAAAGGATTAAGGAACATGCGCTGGTACTTTTTAACCTAGAGGACCGGAAAACTGTTACCGCGTAAGGTGTGTAATGTGTAAAATGAGTAGGTATCCGGTTAGCATCAGTGATCATTACTTATACAGACTATAATTTTAAATTACCTTGGTATATCCTTCCGCTGTCATGTGAACATTGTGCTCCTGTAATTTAATTGCTTAAAAATAGTTATTCAACTGTATCGTGTTAGATTTACCAAAAAAGTGGAGAAAACTGTTCAATACGTCTGTGAGAGTGTTATCAAGACATATAATACGCAAATTAGACTGCATTATTGTGAATCTTACGGTTAGCTACCCACAGCAATAAAACCGATATGTGCTACTTTATCCCAAAATAATACCAAATACAACTTATATATCCATTGATAAACTGTGACACAAATAAAAACAGAAATATAAAACAATAAATACTTTAGAAACTTAAAAACTTTATATTTGTGATTTAAAGTGACGGTTGAAGAAAAATTTTCAAACATATGCAAAACGCTCATAACAAAGGAATCTGTCTACTATTCTCTGAATCTCTTAATCTGAACTACTATTTTGGTAGACGTAGTAAGTAGTAACGATGGCGTGTTGGCTACGCACTCGAGTTGGTCATTTGAGGCCGCAGGACCGTATCTAACCTGCACAATTTGACTTTTTGTGAGTGTTTAAGTTTTAATTTGTATTCAAACTTAATATGTTGAGTAGTCAGAGAAGTGTTTAGTTTAGTCACGCTCCTAAGCTATCGTTGAAAAAGTACTGTAATAGTGTTCGTAAGCATTAAAGTCATACATCAAAACAATCTTTGAACTGTGAACTATGTGCATGATGAATAAACGGTACTTGTTCAAGCGAATATATTATAGAAGCGAACTTTTATTACTATGAATTGTGAAGCGTGTCGTAATCGAATTACTGGCGAGGAACTATTCCGATGTATAAAGTGTATGACACATTATCATTATATATGCCTGAACATAACTCAATATTATTACAAGGCTAACCTGGGCGAACTGAGGTCCTGGATATGTCCACTTTGCATCAACGTAACTAGGCGAAAGGGAAACAACTGCAATACGCCTACTCGGAAACAACTAGAAAACATAGATGAATCTATGTTGTCCTCCGAAGACCTTACGATTAGTGAAAACACTGTTGAAATTAGTCGACCAGTCATGGACACAGTTGAAAATACACCCACGTCATTCGGATGTACTCCCGCTGCGAGTATCACATTGGACCAATTCTCGAGACTTCTAGATCTTAAGTTGGATACTAAACTGGAAAGCTTTTAAGTATCTTTAACTAGAACAATTAGGAAGGAAGTTAGTGATCAAATAGCCAAACTAAAATCCGAGTTCACCGTAACGACAGATTTTCTTGCGAAGGAGCAAAGAGACGTAAAAGCTGAAATTAAGACGTTGTCAGACAAGGTCCGCAAGTTTGAAGATGAAAAGACGCAACTACAATCCGAATTATCCCAAATGAATAAAACTCTGCAGGTCTTAGAAAAAGAAAATCACAACAACAAATCCTCAAGAAACTGCAACATTGAAAACCAGTCGGTACCCGAAAAACGATCGGAAAATTTATTGTATGGGTTGATAAAATTGTGTGAGGTCATAAATTGCTCTATCATCAGACATAAAATCTATCCGCCGTATTGCAAAGATGAACCCTTCGTCAGACCGTCCTCGCAATATTATTGCAACACTGCACTCGGAACATCACCGCGACACTATCATCTCTGCAGTGCGAAGATTCAATAAAGCAAACAAGTTGTGTCCGCTAAACTCGTCTCACATGGGCTTGGCAGGCGAAAAATACAATATCTACGTATCGGAACACCCATCAGCTGAATGCAAGTCAGTACACGCCGCGGCAAGACAATGGACTAAAATTAACCACTACAAATTTGTCTGGGTAAAATACGGTCGCGTCTATGTTCGTAAAAATGAAGAATCCCCTGCTATACTTATAAGATACACTAGTTATTTATCAAAGCTGCCGCCTAATAACTCTGTATAGAGTAGCCTAATAACCCTGTATAGGGTAGTCTAATTTATGTATTTATTTTATTTTTTCTTTTTGTAATCCGATTAAACTCGAAGCATTTATTTGGTATCTTTTTACATATTTTTAAGAATGCATATATATTATCAAAATCTCAATAGAGCTAGAAGTAAAATACATATTCTTTATAAAAAAATTCTGAATTCTAATTACAATTTGATATGTCTAACTGAAACAAATTTCGATACTTCTGTATATGATGGGGAACTGTTTGACGAGCAATACAATGTCTTCCGTAGAGATCGCGAAACCAATTGTATTAAAAAGTATAATAAAGACGATGGCGGCGGTGTTCTCGTAGCAGTTAAAAAACAATACTCTGCTGTTAGACAGGTCACCTGGGAAGGCGACCTAGAGGACTAGCATATTGCCACCTAATATTAATGGTCAGACAATTAATGTATGCTTTTGCTATCTGCCTCCCTATCTTAATAAAAATGACCTGTCAAACTTCTATTCAAATCTTTAAAACATGATCCTAAAATCAAATGAACAGAATTCTTTTGCATTATTTGCCGACTTTAATGTACCCAATGTCTCATGGATCCTGTCAAACGATGGCAGTATGACAGCTAGCTGCAATGAGATGGATTACAAGAGCGAACTGTTGTTAGATACTGTGGCACTCTTGACTGTCACAGTTCAACCCCATCCCCAATAATAACAATAGGATACTAGATCTTGCTCTTAGCACTTCTGGAAATATGACCATCACCAACGAGAAGACCTTATTAAAACAAGATAAACATCACCTTGCCTTTTTTTTTGCATGGGGAAATGCCTACGCATACCCGCCTCGCGGGGGCAAGGACGGGTTATGTCGGACTCGCACCGACTAAAACCCCATGGTGTTCCACCTTTGTCGCATATTGGCAGGGCTACGGGAACGTTTTCGCACACATCCGCGGCCCTACTAGCGCCTGCCGCCCCATGGCAGCACCTCCTCGGGAGAGGAAAATTCCTCCCCGTTCTCCTTCCCAGGTAAGGCGCACCAGAACACATGGCGCGCCTTCCTCCACGGCCTCCAACTACGTCTGTGCAACAGACGCCCCCGCGTCCGATGCACAAAGGCCATGGGGCCAGGAAAAACGAGCACTTAGAAGTACTAGCCTTCCCGACCCAAGCGGCGGATCTGGTCTATGGCTCCGCCGCCAACCAAGATTCGGCTGCGGAGGGTAGGGAGAGCGGCGCCTCGCAATACCGACAATCCTCTCCCCCCGCAGCCCCACCACCACCGCATCAACGGTGCGGCCCCGTTTGAGTCGCGAAGGATAGGGTGAGTGGCGCATCGCCATACCAACACTCCTCTTCCTCCGCGACTCCACCTCGGCTGCAGCGGTAGAGGGTGCGCGAGTCCCCACTCGCTGCAGTCCACCAGCACACATCCGAAGTGGGCTCCCCAAGCCCACTCGGAGCGGCCACCTCAGGCCGGCCCTTCAGCTCGGGCCAGCCACGTGGGTTCCTCTTTGTTCACCGTGGGAGACCAAGCCACGGCTACTAAGCCGCCCCGCCACGACAAGGCGGGAACCCGTTCGGGGGGGGAAACATCACCTTGCCTTACGGATCGATTTTCAAGACTCAAATTCCTTTAATTATAAACCTCTCAAGGTCAATGAGTCAAAACGGCAAAATTTCTATAAATGCCAATACAAAACTGTAAAGCAGAGAATCAATGATACCAACTGGTCAGATCTACTTCATGGGGCAGATGTAGATGAGGCCGTCGCTAGATTTTACGATGTGATCTACGAAATTATTAATGATTGTACTCCCACTGTTAAGAACCGCTCAAATAAATATACCAAATGGTTCAGTCCGGGCTTGCGTCGTTGTATGCGAGAAAAAAACAAATACCACGCGCGCTACAAAAAATACAAAAACCCACGAGATTACGATACATTCTCTCTCCTTCGAGCTAGATGTAAAAAACTCATAAACTGTTGTTACAATAAATACATCAGATCTATTGAAAATGGTTTGAAAAAAGACGTTAAGTCGTTTTGGAGTTACATTAACAGCAAAAGACGCAACAACTCGAGTATTCCCGACTCAATGACATTTGGTGAAATAACGGCTGCTGGTGGTATGGAAATCTGCGATCTGTTTTCAGAAATTTTTGGATCTGTATTCGAAGATCATAGTCGTGGATCGGGTATATCCGATTGTTGTAGTCAAACAAATAGTCTTCTCACTAAAATCGTACTCACTGAGAACGAAATATTAACAAAACTGAGGCATCTAGACTCCAACAAGGGAGCCGGCCCTGACGGAATTCCACCTATATTTCTGCGGGTATGCGCAGATGAACTGTGTCACCCGCTTCTGCTCATATTTAATAAATCACTGAACAGCGGTGTTTTCCCTTCTCGCTGGAAAAAAGCTAACGTTGTCCCCATATTTAAATCTGGTGACCGAGACAATTGTGAAAATTAGAGACCGATAAGCATTTTGTCAGCAGTATCCAAATTATTTGATACAGTAGTATTTGATCACCTCTATTTTCATTTTAAACCTCTCATATCAAATAAGCAGCACGGATTCATCAAAAGGAGATCGACAATCAGTAACCTTCTTAACTTCAAAACCTACATATGCGATGCTTTTAACAACCGTGGTCAGGTAGATGCTATATATACCGATTTCAAAAAAGCATTAGATAAAGTGGATCACGCAATTTTATGTAAGAAACTCGAGTCACATGGTATACAGGGCAGTCTGTTGCGTTGGCTCGAGTCCTACTTGAAAACTAGGAGTCAGCTCGTGACCGTCAAGGGATAGACATCAGAAGAAATCCTCATTAAGTCCGGTGTTCCACAAGGATCCCATTTGGGCCCGTTACTTTTTGTGACCTTCATTAATGACCTCATTGTGAAAATTCAGTCCCCTTGCCTGTTATACGCTGGCGACCTAAAAATTTTCAATAGAATTGGTGGAGCTGACGACACTCGCATCACACAGGAAGACTTAAACAGCTTGTCTAATTGGTGCAGAGAAAATAACATGTTTCTTAATGTCAAAAAATGCTTTGTCATCACCTACACACTAAAAAAAAACAAGGTATTAAACAATTATATCTTAGAAGAACAAACTTTATCTCGTGTGTCGTCTATTAGGGATCTCGGGGTCGTATTTGACGAACAGCTTAGTTTTCGCCAACATTACGATCTCATAGCCAATAAATCTAACCAGGTACTAGGTTTACGTTACAAGACAGAGCAGGCACTTCAGGAACCCACAAAGTTTAATTTTGTTGTATAACAGTCTGGTTCGAAGTAATTTAGAATATAGCTCAATTATATGGAATTCATACTATGCAGTGCATTCTGAGCATATTGAATCGATCCAATCCAAGTTTTTGCGTTTATTGAGCTTACGTGCCGGCAACAATAGAAGACTCCGGCCATATGCTGAGAGGCTTAAAGTTTCACTTCACCACTGTCGCGACGAATTGGACCTAGTTAACCTACACAAAATAATACACTCGGAACTGGATAGCCCCGAGGTCTTGGAACTGTTAAATTTTAACATAAAACACAACCCACGTAGACCTATGAAAAAAATATTTGACATACCCCTATCGATCGCCAAATAATATCTCTCGAAATCAACCCCTATTAAGGTTATGTCGACTTTATGAGGATAAGGATTATAGCCTTCGCTTTACCAACCTTGACATCTTCAACTCTAGCCTGGCTCGCTTTAGAAATGTTTTGAAAGACATTCTCAAGGACATCCCCTTCGATTGATATTCATTATATTTATAGTTCTTGATTTGTTGGATTTGTGAGCCTGTTAGTTTAAGCAATTTTATTTAAAATGTTTGTTTCTCAATCTTGGCATGCCGTGATAACACGTATAAGGATTATGTCTTGTATCACACCATTATTTTTGTAAGTTATAGCTTTAAGTCATGATGTAATCTGTTGTGTTGTCCTATAAGAAAAAAAAATAGGATATAATATAGAATAATAGGTATATAATAGAAGGATATGCATTAACCTAATGTCATCATTTTTGTTTCTTTAAGTTTTGTCTAAATACCGACACCGATAATCTGAGAATAATCATATTTTTTAAATAGGATAAGGGTGACAAACGAGCACACAGTCCTCCTGATGGTAAGTGAATGCTGTGGCCCATAGACATCTACATTTAACCTCGAAATAGCAGATGCGTTGTCACTTTTGAGGACTGAGATGGAATGCCTCGATTCCAGTAAAATGGCTCTCCGGTTCTAGACCCTTTTTACTGGAAACGAGGCATTCCACCTTAGGTGACACCTCATGGGTGACAACGCATCTGCATTTTGATTTGTAATCGAGGGAACAAATTAATTGTTTGTAATGTGTTGTTAATACATTTATGACTGATGATTAGAGTTATATCATTTAAATAAAGAAGAAACAACATTGGACCCAGCACGCTACCTTGAGGAATGCCATGTTTGTTCTCTTTATAAGAAGATGAGGACAGCATTTCCTCTCCTACAATCTTTTTTATTACGACACATTGTCTACGGTTAGCTAAATAGGAAGATATCCATTTTATTGGGAGTCCTCTGACACCGACCATTTCCAGTTTTCGTAATAGTATGCTGTGCGCAACGAGATCGAAGGCTTTCCATAAATCAATAAACAATGCTGTGGTTAAAGAAATTGAACTAATGAGCTTAAATGTGGCTAATGTTGTAGGTTTTTGTTTCTGAAAGCCATATTGGTCATTCTTTATTAAATTGAATTGCTTGCAAAAATCTAGTAATCTTTTGTACATACATTTTTCTAGTATTTTTGACAATATTGGTATTAATGTAATTGGACGATAATTGGTAATATCATTTCTCTTACCCTTTTTTAAATAATGGCTTTACAATCGACAATTTTAATGTTTCTGGAAAAGTACCACATGAAAATGACAAGTTAATCAAATATGTCAAAATAGAGTCTCTAATTCATTTACAGACTTCTTAATTATTTTCGTATTAATTCCGTCATATCCTTCCGAGTTAGTGTTATTAAGAGATAGGATTTCTTTTTTAACCTCTTTTTCTGTCATGGGCTTAACAAACATTGAGTTAGGTAGTGATTTTTCATTACTAGTATAGCTGTTTGGTTTATTCATTATTGTCAAATTATTAGGGAAATCAGTAAAATAATTATTGAAAATCGAAGCTATGTCAGTAGGATTTTTAATCAGTTCATTATTTATTTTCAAATCCGTAACGCCATGGTCGAATTTGAGAAAGCATTTTTTATTACAGACCATGTAGCTTTACATTTATTTTTGCTTTTGTGTATGAATTTTATAGTGGAATTTCTTTTCGATCTTTGAATACATTTTTTCAGAATCTTTGAATGAGTGTAACTTTCCTTATTTAATTCTGTTTTATTCCTGTAGTATCTATATCGGAGTAATCTTTTAGTTTTACAAATTCTTTTTAAACCTCGACTTATCCAATTGTTTGTATTATTATATAATATATCATTATTCTAATAAGTGGAAAACATAAATTATAAATTAAACAAACCTACTATTAACCATATATCACCAAAAATTTTAGTTCCAGTATTGCCTGTTTCATGATCAGATAAATAAAATATATAGACCACGAACTTTATAGAACGAGTTTTTCCCAAGTAATAGGGGATTGTGCCTTTTAGGTCTTTTATATTAAATTTAGTTGCTTCCTGAGGCTGTGGTTTATTGCGAATTATTATCTTTTGAAGTTCCTTAATATTTAAATATTTATTATCGTAGTCAATACAGTCGATGATATAATTGATTAATTTACACATTTTAAAGAAATTGCTATTAAAGAAATTGCTATTAATACATTCTACAAAATAACAGTTTTTATAAGCATTGCAAGTAATTTTCAATTCAATTCATGAACATTCAAATACATATTTTTAATGGGTTAATAACTATCACAGAATTGTTACTAAATTTATTGAGCAAACTACGCAATTGAGATGTTAATATATTAATATCATAATCATTTTCACCGATACATATTACAATTTTTTCATTTGATGTTAATTCTAAGTTATGACAATTTTTTAAAACATCTGCAGTTAGAGCATACGGTTTCGTTTGCGAGGTAACCACATATATTTTTCATATGTTGTACGCTCTCGTGACCGTATCATGCAGCGGCTAAACCAACACATTGTTGAGTTCTAAAGATCAATATCCTGTTACATATCCTGTATCCAGCAAACATGTTGTGCTTTAAGAATTGTGCCATCCTTATCTGTCCATGTTTTATGCAAATATATGAAATAAATAAATAAATTAATAATATTGTAGCTTTGTACAACACCTTTTTCAATAATATGATGTAATTTATATAAAAATAAGTATTATGTAAGTTAATAGAGTCATTCGAAATACATTTTCTGTATTTTGCTCGACATCTATTATTTTCTCCTCAATTTAGTGACTGTTACAACAACAGTTAGGCTGGTTTTAGACTCACGCTGACCGCACGCTGATCGTCGGCGCTGACAGATCAATATGTATCAAAATGTATGTAATTAAAGGAAACGTTCCTAAGTCACGCTGATGCCTCAGCGCTGACATGCGTCGGCGCCGAGCCGCGCGCGACCCTACGCATCTACCGTCGGCGCCACTGAGCGCTGAGCGCTGACGCGCCTGCACAAAGTAGTGAGCTTCTAATATACTGAAAGTTGCATTGTCACGCCGAACGCACGCACCGACGAGTACTGTCATGTCGCAAAATCGAGATATAGACACTGGCCGTGTAATCGATGAAGTAGGATTGAAAAGATGTTTATGGGATGCTTCGGACCAGTTTTATAAAAACAAAGATGCGCGAATAAAGGCTTGGGGTGATATTGTGGTTGCATTATTTGGAGATGTACCACAAAATGAAAAAGACATTTTGGGTAAGTCTGATTTTATTGAAAAACTCGAAGGTGTAGGCTATTATAGCAGTACGTATTGAAAATTTTGTATGGAGTGATTTATCCAATATATTGTGATATATATGTATATACATCGGTAGGTATCTAAAATATATATCTGTCTTGCCAGGGCACACTGCCTGTTGGCGTCAGAAAGTATTCAGCAAAATGTTCTCGCAACGCGTTCCCTAATCTGTTATTTCGAATATTATGTTGCACATCAACCATGCCTTCAAGTGTAAGCATATCTTCAACTATGAAACCGTCTCGCACTCTTATAAAATTATGTAAAATGCAACATGCCTTTACAATATTTTTTGCAACTGGCAAACTGACACTCATGGGAGTATGAAATACTCTAAATTTATTTGACATAATGCCAAATGTGGATTCAATGTATCTTCTTGCACGACTTAATCGATAATTAAATATCTTTTTTTTACGATTCATGTTACTACGGGCATACGGTTTCATTACGTACTTAGATATGCCAAAAGCACCATCGCCAACAATCACATGTTGAACAGGAACATCTGTGCCGGGCAGAGGTTTGGGTCCAGGCATATTTAACCTGTTGTTTTCTAAGCTTCGGAACAGTGCACTGTCTTTAAAAATAGAGAAGTCCGAATCTTTTCCATAAGCTCCAATGTTTACGTAAGTGTAGCAATAATTTACATCACACATTGCTAGGAGAACTATGGAGAAAAAGTGCTTATAATTGTAAAACATGGATCCCCCTCCTACAGGATTAATAATTCTTATATGTTTACCATATCCCCAATACAATTGGGAAAGTTAGCATTTTGAAGAAATCCTGCATTAGTTTCTTGCCACATTTCAGTGCTCCTTGTTGGCAAACATTCATCGCGTAGTACTTCCCAAATGGCTGAACAAACCTCATTCACGATTATACTGATGGTGGATGGTGAATATTGTAGATCCGTATAGGACTGACCCGTAGCCAAAAATCCGTAAAATAAAATATTGTTATTGTTTTAGACAAACTTATCCAGCAGCGGTGGAAAACGGCGAGAGATGCCTATTTCTGAACGAAGACACGTATGAAAAATACGCCTCCTGGAATGGCGTTAAAATCTCGAAATATATGTTTTCGAAGAATTAAGGTTTTTGGATCGAGTAAATGACGAAAACGTAGTTGAAGAGTTGTTGCAGGAACTGGATAATGCTGCTTCTGTTACGCAGGAATACGGAGAGCAAATTAATGCTATTGAAGAAACCGCTCTTGTCACGCAGCATGTCAATGATAATACTACAGTAACGCAAAGGCCATGGTCACAAAAGCGAAAAAATACACAGCGCCAATCTCCCCAACAAACTTCACAATTTGAAAAAGAATTGTTAGTTTTGTTAAGCAAACAGACCCCTGACCTCAGTAGTGATGACCTGGCTTTCTTTTCTTCGTTGGGCCCAATTTTGAATAGTTTTGATCTTTATCAAAAGTTGGAGTTTCGTACAAGAGTCTTAAAAGTAGCTAAGGATATTCAAAATATGTACCAAACACCTAGCAGTATATTAACGTCAATAGAAAATGTCACTTCTCCTGATGAATATAGGCCCCATACGAGTACATTGCAGACACCAAACGACTACCAGACCGAAACGGCAGGATATCAAACACAAATGGCAGGGTATCAGACACAAACAGGATATCAGACAACCAATAATTCTGTGTGTGATGATAATGAACATCAATAAATAAATATGATTATTTATAATATTTTTGTTAATTTAATAATGTATACAATTATGATAATTAATAAATACTAATATGATTACATACTTTCATTATTTTGCTAATTTATTTACCAAACTTACACACCTTTTACAAGTAAATACTCCAGTCTCAAAATATAAACACAGCGAAGTACTTAAATAAATACAAAAATATTTTATTCATTTTCGTCGTAATAGAGATGAAAAGTAGAATTAATATTTCTTAATTTCTAATCTTATCTAACGTGTTTTGTTTGAAGTAACAGCCAAACGTTCAATCGGTGGTATGGGTGCACGCCGTAAGCTGTTACGGCATAGCTTATCCTGTAACTTCACTAGAAGCTCGTCGAAACTTTTTGATGACATGCGAAAGTAGTTAAAGAATTTGTATTCATCAGAGCTCAACTCTCCACATAATGAGATAAATGTTCCACTAAGTAATCTCTGAGCAAGAAACGGATGAACATATTGCCTTCTTTTAGGTTGTCTTTTTTTCCATAAATAATACGCAGCAATAATTTTTACAACCGACATCGTGACTGTACCTGGCAGTAATCGGCGTGAGACTAAAACGACTCGAGCTGATTACAACCGACATCGTCACTGTACCTGGCAGTAATCGGCGTGAGACTAAAACGCACTAAAACGACTCGAGCTGACAGGTCGGCGCTGACAAGCTACGCGCTGACGATCAGCGCCGACGATCGGCGTGAGAGTAAAATCAGCCTAGTGACAACAGTCACTAAATTTTCGACAAAAAAAGGACGAGGGAGAAAAATAATAGATGTCGAGCAAAATACAGAAAATGTATTTCGAATGACTCTATTAACTTACATAATACTTATTTTTATATAAATTACATCATATTATTGAAAAAGGTGTTGTACAAAGCTACAACATTATTAATTTATTTATTTATTTCATATATTTGCATAAAACATGGACAGATTCGGAGTATCATTTGTGTTAGACGAGTCCGACGTGTTTGATGATTGTTGTGTGAGCCTTGTACCTGATGATTGTGGCATGCATTTGTGTTAATCTTGAATTCTTAGTGAATGTTGTGTATTCGATGTGTAGTTTATTGAAACCATTGTAGTTTTTTAACATAATATACCAAATCAGGTCTGTTATGTGTTACAGTAATATCAGTTTGTACAGGCATTTTCCTTATGATTTTAGCAAAATAATTTTGCTTGAAATAAAGCTAGTTTTTGTCGAGTATATTAACTTATAAGTAATTTATATTCCCGACGTTTGGAACAGTGTCCATAATCAAGGAGGGGATCATTGTTGGTACTGTAAAGTGCTAAGGCGGTATAAGTGTAATGGTCGCCTTCGATATATCGATCATTATAAATATATTAACATCGGAGTTTTACATATAATTTTATTTATGGATATATTGAAAATCCGATATTTTAAAAAATATCAACAGTTTTAGTTTGAACTGATCAATTGGAATGATCAGTTGAACTGACCGTGTGTGGCCACCATAAGGCGCGTATACGTAGGCATTTCCCCATGTAAAACAAAAAAGGGGGGTATACAAAATTATGGGTGTGTAGGTTTAATGGGTTTTCATGTAATAGTTTTTTTTCGTGGTAGAGCCACGCTGCAGCTATATTATGGTTGTAGCACGTATGGCTCGGCTCGACCGGGGAAGGACCACGCTCTCACAGAATACCAGCGTAAAATATCAGCTTAATGCTGCCAGATTCGTATGGTTAGTGTGGAGAACTGGAGATCACTTTGTACTGGAATTCAGTCATTCTGTGTGTGACTACGCATTTGCATTTTGATTCTTAATCGAGGTTAAATGTAGATGCCTATAGGCCACAGCATCCACTTACAATCAGGTGGACTGTGTGCTCGTTTGTCACCCTTATTCTATTAAAAAAAGAGTTATGGCGCGTTCGAAAGTAGCTCGAAATGATTCATGTATACACAAAATGTATACACTGCACGGTACGTAGTACTATTGTTTATTTTGTGATGCCGGTGCGTTGCCTGTTTTTAAACTAGGCTGATACACGATAGTGAGCAAGATACAGCAATAAAGAAAATTGAATTTTCATTTCTAGCGAGTCTTACATTTTAATTAACGGTAGATACTTGTTCAGCTGTCAATAAATAAAAGAAATTGCTTCAAAGTACTATAGTTTATTTAGTGTACCAACACAAATTCTGTATATGTGCAGAAACTCCTACAAAGCCCAGACGCGTACATAGTCTACTTGGAGGGATGCATCCTGGCCGTCATTGACGTTCAAATTCCACGTCGGCAGCCATCCCGCTTGTCCATTCCAGAAATCAGTAGCAGCCTGTAAAGTAACCATTTTTCAGGTCTGCAGAATGAATATACGTATTATGGTTTTTGTATAATAGGATACAAAAACAAGAATTCAAATGCAATTAATTTTTTTGAGACTTAAAATGTTGCATTCCGTTTCTTAAACATTGTATTTGTTTCAGACTATTTTCCACGCCGTGTAGTGGCGGTGTAAGAATATCCACTATCCCGTATAGTCCCGTACATAGAATGCTATAATACATACATAATAGAACGGGGGAGTGGGCGGAGCCCGTGTAGCCACTAAAATGCCACTAACACGTTAATTCACACGTATAAATGTCAACACGAGATGTGTTTTAACGTTACAATCGTTTCCAAATTTCGCATGCAAATTATTTAGAAAATGCCAAATTGCACGCTATTTACAAATAAAACTAATATAATCCAAATAAAATCAAGTATTAAAATCCGTCTGTCAACACAGCGAATCGGGTTTGTAGTAGTGATTAACTGATATACGACGTAATTGCTTGTATGTGTGCTCCCGGCGACGCCTATCCTTGTACAAAGTAAGGTTGACAGCCATTCTATTGTGTGTTATATTATTCTATGGTCCCGTGGGTATCGTAAGAGGTGACAGGGAAATTGAAACAGGTGAATGGTAGCAGCATCTTCCTGATAATAAGCAAAAATAATAAAAAACTGCGATTGAAAACACGCTCGCCAAGCGTGTCAACTATGGAAAAATATCCCCCGTGAGGCAATTTATGAGGAGGTCTATGTTCAGCAGTGGACTTTTAAAGGTGGTAATGGTACTTCCCAGCAGTTTTGTGGACCCAGCTGTATAAAATAAATTGACTTCCTGGCAGTCCTGTAATTTTTAAAGTAACAGCCTATATACGCCCCACTGCTTGGTGCAGGTCGTTCACCCTGGCATTCGTATGCATGGAATTCAGTCAGCTGCGAGCTGCTTCAGTTAGTGTTACCGAAATTCATTTGTTTGTCATTTATGGAAACGCAAATGACAGTGTAAAGAAAAACCAATAGGGTGCTCGGGCCAGTTGAGGTCAGATCCAATCCAAAAGATAAGCTATTAGTTGGATGTGTGAGTCCCTTACTAAAAGTAACTGGTCTTCGAATGAAGGATGCCGTTCTGATGAAGTTCAACGCCTCGTTTTTCAATCGAAAAATGGAGCCAGATGTATTATTTGAATACACCGTCAGCCTTTAGTTCTTGGCGGTCAAGAAATCCAAATTGCGCAATCATACACTTGGCCAGTTCCGGGTAATTTATACTTAATAAGTAATGACTTACCTTGTAGGGGATAACCAAGAAATATTATTATAACGCTTATGCTCTCCGTTATCATTTTTAAACTTAAACCACAATAGTTTAAACAAAATGATGTAAATAATACTATATCGAAATTAAAAGGTACATTAGTTTAACGTCAACAATTTAAACAATAACCTAAGTTTGAAAATTTTACATCTGAATACCAAGGCTTTCTTAAATGCGGAAGAATTACTGTTGTGAGTAGTGGTGCTGGGATTAGCAGTGACGGGGATTATGCACGCAATTGGGGCAGGACGGAAGATTCTCTTCAAACTAGGTAGGTAAGACACATCTTTTTATTTATACTTGGCCTTTTTTTATACAATTACACAAAAACAGGTCACAGTGTCTTTTAATAATAAATAGTTATGTTTATCTATGATTATAATTATAAGCAATCATTAGTTATATCTAAGATCAACCTAATCCATTACAAAATTTGTACTTGCAATACCTATCACCTCATGAAGTTTTGTTTTATAAAAAAGATAGTAATTATAAGTCATACTTATATTAAAATGATCTTAACTTAACTATACTTCTGTATAGTTAACTTTTTGTAGATAATGTCTTCGGGTCTCTCTTTTCCAATTTATCAAGTAATTGTTCATATTTACAGAAATTCTTTCAGTTCTTATGCCCGTATTTTTGCTTTCAGGCACAACTCACCAATGATAAAGAAGATAACTCATTGTTAAGCATCCAAAAATATGTTATTCCTTTGCAAAATCGTTTAATTTACTTGAGCAGTGACGTCACGAGCTCAACAGCACAGCGGTTAGCGTATTCGCGCGAAAATATAAAACGATAGATTAAAAGTTATGGGACTATAGGGTTTAAAAAATATATATCACAATGATAGTGGTTCATTACTACTTTATGATTCATTTAAAACAGTATTTGAAAATAGGTGTGTGTCGGCATTTATCGTTTAATATCAATTATCATTTGTTCTTACATATAATCATAACCACATATCAATAAGTTATCTTCCACACAGAGAAATGCATTAAATGTAGAGGAAGACTATCTGTTCGCTTTTATCGATTTAAAACAAACGTATAGTCGACTTCCACAGTTACATTACGGGAATATAACAGTGAAAATAAAAGCCACGTTGAGGCTAACATACTTGTTATCAATGTAAGCACCATAATGTTGAACTCGTGTATAAAGAAACAATACTTTCACCATTTATTTATCATTGGCCTTTATTAAATAGTAATTTTATAGAAACTTACCGTGGGCGAGCCATTCCACCAAGGCTTAGGAGTTGGGTTGGTCACGCCATCTGGGAAGAACCCGTTTGTACCACCCACAGCTAAATTAATTATAATATAGAACTGAAAA